TGGGCGTGGCCACGCTGCCGCCCGCGGGGGCGGTACAGGCCTGGGGGCGGCGTTGCTCTGGTATTGTCGCGTCCTTTCTCTGTGCTCCGCTTTCCTCGCCAATAAAACGCTGCTTGTTCCGGCTCTTTCTTCCGAGTCACTGTGCGGGCGCGGGGTAGCTTCTCCCCATCCGTCCTTGGACGAGGAAGGAGAAGGGAGAGCAAAGGCTTTACTGAAGGCCCCTCGCTAACTGCACAAAGTAAAACTTCACCCGCACCTCACTGTCCCAAGAGGTGCTGGCGACGCTGGTGTCCCGTCTCCTTGTCCCGAGGAAGTAAATGCCTGGCCTTGTGCGTTCCGTCGCGGCAGTGTCTTTTATCATCCCTGACGCCCAAGAGGACAGGCCCACTGAGTTGGGTTACAGCACCACTCCCTGCCTTGAACCTGTCCTAATGTTGGGAGGCAGACTGAGGGGCACCCCGGACCCCCAAATCTTGCACGCTCTAAATGAAATCTGCAACAGGAAGATAACTGATGTTCTAGTGTGTAAGACTTTCAAAAGAACAGAATTAGTGTGCAATATAGAAGGAGGAAAAAATCATTGTTTCTAATTAAACACCCCAAGTTATCCTCACCTCATGGGTAAATACCCAAAGCAGGGCCAGTGACAGGAGAAAGCTTCTGGTGAGGGAACCAAAAGAACCAGGCTGAAGGGGGCAGGCAAATCTCAAAGGAAAGGAGCAAAATCAAATTGCAAGTCAAGATAAAGGCTGCATTGTCAGCCTCCCACGGGTCTCTCACATTCAAGGGTCTCCTTCCATGTTCCCCAAGTCCCTGGTGCAAGTCCAAGGCCAAGAAGCAAGTGTGGCAAGTGTGGCTTCTCCTGTCTCTGGTCCACTTGCTGTCCTCTTCCTCTTCCTTCCTAGCTTCCCCTCACTGCTCCTGGAACCTTCCCTTTCTATGAGAACTACACTGTTTCACTACAACCCCTCAAGATTTCTAGCTCTGGTCAGGTGCCAGGAAGAAGCCTCAATTGCCAGTAATTTCATACTAAGTGGAATCAGGGAGGTGAGTTCTGGTCAAGAATTGAGATGGGACCCTCCCTGGTGGCTCAACGGGTTAAAGCACAGCACTAAGAAGCTAAAGCCACTTCAGCATGAGTTCGATCCCTGGCCCTGGAGCTGACCCACATGGCCCGGCAGACCTCTCCTGTCTCGCCCACTGCTCCCCTCAGCAGTGTACATCAGTCAGTCTGTTCTGCTCCCCACTCTGTTTCTGGTGAATCCTCTCACTGCCCCTACACCTCTGACCTGCATCCCAGTCCTTCACCCCAGTTCTGTATGCATAAATAAATAAATATTTTTTAAGAAAACGAATTGAGATGGAAGCAGCATTTCCCACCCCAGGCTGTTCTGCACACACTTGTGTATATGTCTGATGCCCCCACACGAGTGCAATGTACACACTTAGGGTGTGCACAAATGTGTGTTAACTTACACAGGCAGGAGCATGGAGCACTCATACACACCCATACCCACACAGTCAGTCCAAACTGGACAGTCTATCAGGAACCTTCAGGGAAGAATAGCAGAGGCTACCAGTACTGACCATGAACTCTGTGCCCGCCCAGCATCACCCAAACAGCAGTCAGGAGCCTCCCCAAGCTCTGAGCTTACAGGAAGTCACAACCCACTTTGTCGTTTTCATGTCATTAAGTATCCTTTTGTAGAAGTCTTTGTATTATCCAGAAATTTGTAGAAAATTAGAATGTTAAAAAATAAAAAAGGGCCCTCCTGGTGGCACAGCAGGTTAAAGCGCAGCATTATGAAGCTGTCCACAGCCACTGCAGCACCAGGTCGATCCCAGACCAGGAAGCTGACCCACATGGTGCGGCAGACCTCTCCTGACCCGCCC